GAATACACTCGCAGACTGAGACCAAGAGACTGTGACTGTTTGTTAGTTGTTCATGAGCTGTAATCTGCCCTGGTGTTTGGTCCACACACTTGCTGTCTTTGTGGCTAGGGTTAAGTGCAGAGCGTCTGGGCTGATTGCCTTTGGCAGCTAAAGGTCAGCAATCAAACATTAATGCCAGTGAAATGTCACCTGTGTGGGGGGGCCATAGGTTAGGAGGGAGTGTTCACCAGGTGGGTTCACCAGAGGATGCCCATCTAATTCCGTGATAATCAAAACGTATTAACAACGATCACATTTTTAAACTGTTGCAGTGGCCGGTGGCAGTAGTGACTCATTGCAAATGTATAGTTCAGACGTGAAGAAACATTGTCACAGAATCCAACAATATAAGTAACTAATTTAACTTGCCTTGCTCAAAGGTGCAGTAGTGGTGGGCAATGAGTTGTCATGATCTCATGTGGGATTCGAACCACCATCCTTTTGTCTAATAGCCTAGATCTATACAGTTTATATTTGAACATGTGTTCCTGCACTCGTATGTGCTGTAAACATGTCATGTCTCTGACCCCTTTATCACTCAACCACAATACACTTTTGTCTGCAGACATGGGCTTGGAGTCATTTTGAAGAAATTAGCTTTATTGGAGCAATTTCATATTATTTGGCGACAATAGCAAAATGGTGATACTTCATGGATTCTCTCTTTTGGGGTTTAAAACCGCAACCCTACCAAATTTTTATCTCTTGAAATTTAACCATTAACCATTAAAGGGATAGTTCACCCAAAAAGGAAAAGTTCAACCAGGTCTCGTCCCATTCGTCGGTATTTGTGATATCACAAATCCCAGAAAATATGCGTTGTAGACCAAACGAGTCGTTCGTTGTAGTTTTTGAAAAGTGATTTCTGTTAAATAAAACATCTCCTTTTGAAGTGGACTTTGAGCTTTGTAACTTTGCAGATCTTTTTTATGCTCAAACAGCAACATTACAGACCAACTAAAGTTGAAAAAGTGAAAAAGCATAATAGGACCCCTTTAAGATATTTTTGATGAAATCCAAGAGCTTTCAGACCCTGCATAGACAACGAAACTGACACGTTCAAGGCCCAGAAAGGTAGTAAAGACATTGTTAAAATAGTCCATGTGACATCAGTGGTTCAATCGTAATGAGACTGACACAGAAGAGAAGAAATTGTTGAATAAAGTCGTTCTTTGGGCAAAAAAGTATTCTTGTAGCTTCATAACATTACTGTTGAACCCCTGATGTCACATGGACTATTTTAATGATGTCCTTACTACCTTTCTGGGTCTTGAACATGTCAGTTACATTGCTGTCTATGCAGGGTCAGAAAGCTCTCGGGTTTCATCAAAAACATTTTGTGTTCCGAAGATGAACAAAGGTCTTACGGGTTTGGAACAACATGAGGGTGAGTAATTAATGACAGAATTTTCATTTTTGGGTGAACTATCCCCTTAAAGGTCTTTTCACACTGAGTCCAAAATTCTCATCCAAAATTCTTGCACGATAAAAAAATAGGGCCTCACGTTGTGTCAATCGCATTTACACACTGCCTCCAAAACTTTCGTCCGTCAAGAAAAAAATCGGATCAGGTTCGATTTTCTGTGTTTTCACATCTGTAGCAAGCATTTTGGTAGGAAAGGATGACAAATAAGAAAAAAAATTAAAAACGCATATATGAAAATTTTCGGAATTTTTTTTGTGCAAGGACCTTAAGCCCCAATACCCTATAGATTTTTGTTGCTATTTTTTTTTTTAAGGTCAAGCAAGACTTTTTTGAGCTCCTGTCAGATTACCATGTTGATGGTCAGCAGCGCTGGAGCAAAGTGAAGGAAAAGATGGAGACTGACCCTCGCTACAAGGCTGTGGAAACTTCTGCAGTTCGAGAAGAACTATTTAAGGAGTATGTGGAGCGTCTTGCCAAGGTTAGTGAAGCTGCTTCACTTTACACTTTACATGGTGCCAACCCAACAAATGAGAAATATATGCATGAAATTATAGTGCTTTAGAAATAATAAATACTTTTACATAATGGATAAAATATAAATGTAAAAAAAAACAAAAAACATGTATTGACAACTTAGCTTTTTATGTTATATGGTCTTAATGCTCCTCCAGAATCCAAACTCTGAGAAAGAGAAGGAGCTAGAGAAACAGGCCCGCATAGAGGCCAGTCTAAGGGAAAGAGAGCGCATGGTGCAGAGATTTCGCTCGGAGCAGACCAAAGAGATTGACCGTGAGAGAGAACAGCACAAGAGGGAGGAAGCTGTCCAGAATTTTAAAGCGCTCTTGTCTGATATGGTAATAGACAGTGTTTCAGAATGACTTCATATCATGACAGATTGAACATCTCAGTCTGGAAGCTTAAAGGGTTAGTTCACCCAAAAATGAAAATTAGGCTGCGTTTTACTCACCCCCGAGGCATCCTAGGTGTATATGACTTTCTTCTTTCAGACGTATTTAAGTTCTTTTGGACTGAAGCAATGCAACACCCGCTGAGTGGCATTAAACAGCTTGAAAGATCAAAGACAATTTTTAATATAACTCCGACTGGATTCGTCTGAAAGAATAAAGTCATATACACCTAGGATGCCTCGGGGGTGAGTAAAACGCAGCCTAATTTTCATTTTTGGGTGAACTAACCCTTTAATCTTAAATCTAACAATGTAAAATTGTCATTAAAAATTGTTTTCTGCATGTGACAGGTAAAGTCATCTGATGCAAACTGGTCAGAGACACGTCGGACCCTGAGGAAGGATCACCGCTGGCAGTCATCCTCACTGCTGGAGAGGGATGAGAAAGAGAGGCTCTTTAACGAGCACATCGAGGCCCTCGGAAAGAAGAAAAAGGAGCTATTTCGCCAACTTCTGGATGAGACGACCTCCGTACGTAGTGCCCTGACGCCATTACCTGGGTCATATGTCTAACTCTGTTTGTTGTCAGTTAATCTGTTGTTAATCTCAAATTCCTTCCTCTACATCAGATCAATTTGATGACATCTTGGAAGGAAGTGAAGAAACTCATTAAAGAAGATCCAAGATGCATCAAGTTTTCCAGCAGTGACAGAGTAAGGCCTGTCTTATTTTCAAAAACAAGAATGTGTTGTACTCCTCTAGTCAAAAAGCTATGTCTTTGTTAAAGCTATAGAGTAAGTCTTTGTTCCTGCTGTTCACCTTTTCACTGTAGAAAAGACAGAGGGAGTTTGGTGATTACATCAAAGACAAGTACATCACAGCCAAAGCAGACTTCCGAACTCTTCTGAAAGAGACCAAGTTCATCACCTACAAGTGAGAAGCTTCAAATTTGTGATCAAAAAATTCTAGATTCTAATTCTACCATATTTAAAAACAATTATTTAGTAAGAGAAAACGGCAACAGTAAAAACTGTAACAGCTGTCCTGTTAATATACAGTTCTTCTGACTCATTGCATGTCCTTTTTTGTGTCTCCAGATCACGTAAGTTGATGCAGGAGTCAGAGCAGCAGTTGTCGGACATAGAGAAGATCTTGCAAAAGGATAAAAGGTACCTGGTTCTGGACTGTATGTCAGAAGAGAGGCACAAACTCCTCATGGCGTATGTGGAGGAGCTGGACCGCAGGGGACCACCTCCACCTCCCACTGCCTTTGAACCTGCTCGACGCTCCACTAAATGATAACATACCTCCCAGATATTTTTTTGCACTCCTTGAGCCCACACTACCACCGTTCACATTTTAGACTCGCAGAAATGGTAAATCACTCCAGCTCAAGGGTTCTACTTGACAAACCTTTCAAAGTGAATGGTACATACCCACGTAGCTCATGCCACAGAGAACATCATGGGTTAGTGACCAATCAATTCAGCTAAGCATAAGACACAGAATAAGTATTTGGACCAACTGGAAGGTTTTTTTTATGATGCTTTTCTAGGTCATCTCCATAAGGAGCCAGTGTTTTCATGTTCTTACACAAACTCTTTATCCGTCCATTCAAGGGTTAAAGCCACATTAGATGCGCATTGGTGATTGTAGAGAGTCCGTCATGTGTTTGGGTAATTGTCCTGAACATCATCTGGAGGTATGACCACCTGGTGCCTGCCGACCTTTTTTTCCGCTCTAGCCTCTGCAATCTCAAATTGCGAACATCAATTCCGTTTCACATGTCCCATCTTTTGCTCCAAACTGTGATTTCCTGAAATTGGGAGAACCTCCCAGTTTTGTGAACATTTTTGGTGACTTTAGTCACCCACAGGGATATTCAAGAATTATGAAAGCCTCTCTCTGTATATGTAATTTTAACCGACTGTTGGGTTAACATGTAAGATGTTTCTAGATGATGAATATATATGGATAATAAGTATTCATTAGTTTGTTTACAATGTGTTACAACTGACAGTATGAGGACTGGCAGTTGGCCATGTCAACTGGTCTTACGGTTTAATTTAATTGTCCAGATGTTTCTTAAAAAAATATCTTGTTTTTTGCTTTATGTACAGTTGAAGTTTAATAAAAGCAACCTTTTTTTTTTTTTTTTTTACTTCTGTGACTGGATTTTACGTTTTGCAGGTGTGTGCAGTATGTGTAGAACAGTTTAAAGCAGACCACAAAAACAACACAACTCCTTAGTAGGTAATATATATAAATTTATTTTACACTATTTCATTCCCTAAATACTTTCTTTACAGCATATTCATTCTGTAGACATTTTCATTTCCATCTTAACGTGTAAACACTCATAATAAAAAGGGGCAAATTGCAAATATCAATAAAAGTAAGATTTCAACATCTATTTTTAACAATACCATAGGCAGGAGAGAGCTATCCACAGCTTTTCGGCATTTTTATTGTCTTGGTGGACCTGTGCGCACAAAACATCACCACACACTGGTTTCTGTAGTGATATTGCTACCCATTTTAATATATAATACATAATTTTTTTAACAACATAATACAATACAAATAATACAGTCATTTCAAAATACTCATAGATCATATCAAGCCAGTTTGATCACTTTCATCTTGTTCAGAAGAGTTCAACACAAACACAAAAACAAATAAATTAAAACCATAACTCATTTATGATGAGTCACAATGAGAGAGTCAAGTTCAGGTGAGGTCTGATCTGTTGTGTGTTTTCCATTCTTTTGTGTTGACAAAATGTAAAAGAACAGGGATTCTCACTTTCTTACTGTTTTCCTTCCTTGGGATCCTGATGTTCCCAGGGCACAGGATCATTTTCATGTGACTGGGAGCCAGTCTCCCTCTCCTGCCAGAACTGCTCTACATCTTGCAGTACTATTCCATCCTTGTTGGTCGGGCTCTCCTGCAGTCCTCCACTCTGGTCCGGTTGCTTCTCAGGCTTTTGCTCCTCTGTTCTCCCAGGCCGGTGTGGAGGGAGGTGGGCTGACCTTTCGGGTCTCGGTGTGGGTGACTTTGGGGCAGTCGGGGTGTGTGGTCCTGGCTTGTGTTGTTTCGGTGGTTGTTTGCGGAGGGTGAGCCTTCGCCACAAGCCAATGTAGCCCTCCCTGAACTCCTCGGAGAGGGCGAGAACGATGAGAGGGTTGACTAGAGAGATGGAGAACATGAGGAGCTGGGTGGAGAGAGTGAAGAGGACCGGAGGAAAGGCACCATCGGTCTCTTGGGCGTGCCGCATCCAAACCCAGGACACCCATTGTGGGAGCCACATGGTGGCCATGGCCACCGTCAGGCTGAACAGCATCAGGGTGAGTTTGCGGGATCGGATCTGCGTCCGTAGGTTCTGGGTCTTGCTGGACCTGCGCTGGCATCGTCCATATGCTTTCCAAAAATAAAGTAGGGCGAAACTCAAAGGTGTGCAGTAGGCCAGGAGAGGGTACGCCTTGACGTACACAGACATGAAATCATGGGCATCGACTGGCACTGCTTGGACACAAATCATTCCACTTGCTTCTCTTTGCAGGGTGGAAAAAAGCCACTGGGGAATGGGGACCACGCACGCCAAGAGCCAAGTAAAGAGTAGGACTACCAGGATAGTCTTCAAACGGTGGCTTACCTGCTTGGTGGGGTTACAGACGTACCTGTAGCAAGCTTTGGCCATGATGGCCACGGTAAAGCTCTTTGCAGCCATACATGAGTGCAAGAACCAGTCGCAGGTCTTACAGACAAACATACCCAATGTCCAGCTGGCACGGGAATAAGCAGTGGCTTTGAAGGGAACAGCAAATGCCAGGACCAAACCATCAGCTAGCATGAGGTTGAGGATGAGTGCGTTGATCAAGGACAGCTTACTTTTACGCGCGTTAGTGATCAGGACTCCCATAGCCGTTACATTCCCGGTGAAACCCAGGACGCAGATGACTCCCAGCACCACTGGAATCAAAACCCTCAGATCTCCGTGATCCAGGTGCTGATATCCACTTCTCTCCAGAAATGAGCGTCTATCCACGGAACTGTTCCCGGCGCTGATGTTCATAGCAGGTAATTTATCCATTTTCGCTGTGATGGATTGGTAAATGGAAATAAATTTGGCAGTGTGTGCAGAGAGAACGAAATTCTCTGTCTCAAAACTGCGTCTATACGCGAATAAACTTGTGGAATTGATCAGTGCCCGCGCTCTTCCCGCTTTTGACTAGACGGCGCGAAAGCGGAGCGACTTTATAACGGACGTTTTGATTGACAGGTGCCGTCCCCAGCTGACTGACAGCGTTTAATTTCGCCTGCCGCGATCCTCCCGAGGCCAATTAAAATGATTTCGGGTAATAAGCACTGACTGCTACACACTGAGTTAAACTTATTGCTTCTATTGTCACTGGAAATGATGGATTTTTTTATTTCCTGCCGAAGACAAAGGCTTGATTATTGCAAATGGAAATATGAAGGAGTAGGAATGTGAATGCATTTTTATGAGAGATTTTACCTCAGTAGCAAAGACGTTTTCCTCGAGCTGAAATAATGTAGCTATGTTAGCCTACTTTGTCACATTTAATGTTATTGTAACACTTTGTAAGAAGTTATTTGCACCTTTTATAATGTTTGCCATATATTTTAACCCAATATCGTATATTAATATCCAAATAGTTCTCTCACTTCATGTGGTTTTCTCATGGTAGGTTTGTTGTAGCCTACATTTGAATTGAAGTATAAACACCTGAAAACCACAAAAATGATTTAACATAGCCAGCCAGGAAAAACACAGTTAATGGGTTGTTGTCACACTGTGAGCGTATGTGAATGTATACGTATTTTTCTCTTGACCGAATTTACTCTTGCGTGAATTACTAGTGTAGTCTTGTTGTGTCCACTTTTTATCCAACAGCTATAGCAAAAATATCATTATACTAAAATGTTTATTAGATAAAATTCAGAGAATTATAATAGACTAATTTAAAACAAGAATTAGTGTAATTGGGCTTTTGGCTTGAAACCTTAAAATTATATTGAGACTTGTATGGCTATAGCCGTAATCCCTTGCATAGAAGTGTAATTACATGTTTAATTATTCGTATGCAAATTAACGAATATATTATGAATAATATAATAATTTATATTTGTTAATGTTAGCATTAATGAGTTATCACTATTCTTTCAATATCTTACCAACCAAAATACTATGCTACACTCTTTTTAAAAAATCCATAATAGGGCACAATGGTACTGTATTCATTTGAAATAATTTCCTCTTTTTTTTCTTTTTTTTTAACAGATGTTTTACCTGTATTTTGAACATTTCTGTGAATTGAAGTTGTCAGTACCTAATATTCTGCCAAATATCTCCTTTTGTGCTCTTAAGAGGAAAGAAAATCATTATAGGTTTGGAACAACATGTGGGTGAGGAAATTACAGCATTTTAATTTGAATTTGTATGAAGAGTAGTATAAACAGTATGTCTGTCTCTTGAACTGTCACACGAGGGCGCCATTGTTTACGTGTAGTGAAAGGAGAGCAAGAAACAGATCAATTTTATTTCAACTTCTTTTTCGTTTCTTTTTATTTTCAACGAATTCCATTAAGCATAAAGACTGCATGGCAAATAACTGCATGTAGATACATTCTGAGCTATAAAACTTTGTGTCATTAAGAAGTTTATATCTGAAGTTTTTCTTCAGAAGAGAATATTACTGGTTCATTTGTACATAATAAAATTCCCTGATATCATTTAACCTTCATGTATAGGCTACATCATGATACCGGTATTTCTGTCATCCTCAGGCCAAAGTGACGTAACTGAACGATGACGTTTTAACAGTCTCAGACAAATGCAGCGGAAACAATGGAAAAAGATGACGTCTGATTGTTACAGGTTCATTTGATGGTACAGAACAGATCATTTCTTCATTGGCTCATTATAGATGACATTGCATGCAATAATACTTTTTACCCAGCACAGCACTGAAGACTGAAGAAAAAAAAAATCAGGGTACACTGTAAAGTTATGAGCATACTGAGATAAAGTGGAGAGTATAATGCAAAATTCAAGTACTTCAATTCTGTGTACTGAAAATCCATGTCGCTGCAATTCTTTTCCCTTCTTACACAAAGCTATTTTTCACATTTCTTGTAAAAACATTCACACTTCACAACCCAAATACCACCCTTCCGAAAACCCTACCACCCTCCACCCCGTCTGCCGCCCAAGTACCCAAATATGAAAAGAAGGCACCACAGCTTATTAATGGTTACATCAAAATAATAGGACAACATGAAATGGCAAAATATGACCAGTGGGATTGACTTTTACTTCAGAGCACCTTTCAAGAGGAATAATCAGGTCGCAAGGGACTGTGATTCCATCCACAGATTGTTTGTTTCAACACTACAATCAGCGCAGATCACATTCTTAGTCTATTACGAATCAGTCAGACATTTCAGAGAAAGTTGGAGGGCATTGTGTTTCAAACGGAATGGAAATCCATTGTTTTTTTTTTTGTGAAGGCAACCCTTTGTTTCCGATGCCAGGATGTCAGCGAAGGCCTGTCTTTTTGCCTTATTAAAGATTCTTCATATCATTAGAGTGAAAATGCACATTTGTCCAGATTTAAAGAGTCAGGCATTTACTTCCAGCAGAGAAATGAATAAATACGATAAATAAACAAGTTTGCGGAAGAGGAAATGCAGATAGAGGAAGAATGATTGTGCAGGGCAGGATGCTACTTGTTTGTGAAACTCTGGCAGCTGCCTTGCACAAGGCCAGCATCTGTCCATACTCCCTACATCATAGATAACTTCCTGTTTCTCATCACAAAAGACACCTTGCAATCTCCTGCCGAGCTGCAGCATTTTGTTCCTCTTTCTCTCTCTTTTCAAGGTGGTACAGTTGTGCTAGTTGACCTTATCTTGGAATATGTAAAGGTTATTGGTGGCTGCCACAGCGATGATGTTCTCAGAAGGATGCCAGGCAGTGTGGATTATTTTCTTGCTAAAGTCCAGGCTGTCCACACTGATTTCATCTTTGCGACGCTTTCCGCCCACACACACCTTCCGTGGTTTCAGGATCGCCCGAGGCTTGCTGTTCTCCCGGGACGCCTCCAGAGTCACGTCACGCTTCGTATTACGGTCGAACATTCGGAAGAAGTTGTTGTAAGAACCAGTCATGATCACACTGGAAACAGAACAAAGTAAAACATCAACAATATTCATTATTAAAGCATTATTTTGCTTTTGAATAATTGTGCATTGATTTATTATTCACAATTGGACCAGTACAATTATTAAAATAAATATTTAATACAGATCTGCAAAACACTGACCTGTCTGATCCATTCCAAACACATTCAAATTTGTCGAAGATGCAATCATTCTCATACAGCGAGCACAGTTTACTTCTTAGGTAATCGTGTACCTGGTGGATGAAATTGTGACAATTTTGATTGTTAATTTAGTAAACACTGGTTTTCACATCTCTAAAAATTCCTCTCTTTTTAGACAGTGTGTGACTGCTAAATACCCCATCAAATCGTTTGATGAACATTTCCTGTGTTTTCATATTTTCTAGCCCATTGGTGGGATGAAGTAAAGTATGACTATTTGAGAAACCAAAGATATCAGCGCAATATATCAACCATGATTGATGAGGTAGGTTATGTTTATGATTCAGGGATGTTCTCATTCTAGAGAGCATTTTATTACATTTGTGTAGTGCAATATTTTTGATCTGTTTACTGAAAGACAAAGATTATAAATATAAATGTGTATGTGTGCTACAAGTCTTTCTTTGTCTACCAAAACAGCCAAATATAATTTAACATAGCCCTTAAAATTCGGGCATTAGGCTTTGTTAAATGCAGATAGTTTGCAATGAAATTACTCAATGTTGTACCTGATAGGTTTCCAGTGGTTTGCTCTCCATGTTGAGATCCCAGACCTTCACTGTCAGGTAGTCACGTGTCATCAGGTACCGCCCACTGTGGCTGAACTTCACGTCAGAGATGGAGGAGATGATTTCAGAGAAAAAGGAGCGATTGCTTGGGTCTTCTGGCTCCTCAAAAACTAGAAGAGAATAATGAGAAATCAAATACAGAAATGTTAAAATGAGGATAAAACATGTCCCGTCCTCACTGAACATACCATCTCACTCAGAAATATCACAGAAGTAAAATGGATTGCGACTGCTGTTTCATGTTGGCTTTAAAAACAAGCAACTTTCCAAAGAAAGTTTTCCTGAATCACTTTGACTGTTTGCTTCCCAACACGTCATAAATCTGCCTGGCTCGCCAGGGAAATAATACACCTGTCAGCAGAGAAACAGATATTTATCATCTACTATCGATTATCCTCTCACTGTTTTGTTGACTCAGTTGCGGATTATCCTGTGATGTGTCTGCAGGCGTCTACACAGTGGATGAAAAAACACGGGCAGAGGGGGAGGATACAGATCAATGCTTGCAGGGAAATTTGAGCACTGGTGGACTGCAGGTGTTTGTCATGAGCGTGCCATGTCACATTGTGAGCCTGTCCACCTGCAGTCTTGCTGGGTGTCATTCAGATGGGGCTAATGAGTCCTCTGGGGAGAGACGTGAGGGGCTACGGCCCTCCGTCTGCACTCCGCTGCTGCTTGGAGCCCTGCTGGGCTTGGTTAGCCTCCCCCGCCTGACACCGCAGATTGATTTTTAAGAATATTCTCTAGGATGCCTGGAAGATTTATTAGTGTGGATGGAAGGAGCAACACACACGCACACACTATGCAATGGAGAAGCCATTGAGGAGGTCTTTCCTGAGGCAGACTGGCACATCCGCCTGCTGTGAGATCATGTACCAAGGAAAAAATTGACAGATGTGTGTATAATTTAGGTCAGTGTGGTGCTGGAGATACAAACCAAGGCAGCTAAAACCGAAGCCCTCACAGTTGTTACCCCCTCCAGCAAATCTGGCCTTTTAAAATTCAGCAGCAGTATGTAAATATCTATACAACAGGATGTGAACACATGGACCAGTGAGCACGTTGATAAAACGAAGGAATTACCAAATTCTTTCAGCAGTGTTAAAACTATAGGCATAGCTATCTGCCCTTTAGCATTGATTTTTATGCCAAGCTTAAATGTCAATGCATTCAATCTGATCATCAAATGCACATGGAAGCCTCCCACCATAAACTGGAGACCAGAGCGCCTGA